CCCAAAACGACTCCAGAGCCTCCCGTGCACTAGACCTCAACATGCTCGCAACTCCAGCGGTGGTCTCTCTTTTTCGGCTCAGGGCTTTAGGGTTTAGGGTTTAGGGTTTAGGGTTTAGGGTTGAGGGTTTTTTATGGCTTGGGGTCGACGGTCGGAAGCTCCCGGGAAGCTACGAGCCTCCAGCCCTAGGAAGTCCAAAGCTTGAGAGTTTGAAAACATATCTGTGGGCAGACTAAGTCCAGCCCCTAAGTTGGACCAGCAGGCAGATCTCAACGGTTCATGCCACATGCATGCATGGTTCGTAACTTGCATTTGTTAGAATTGACATCACTTCTGGTGCATCATGCTTACGATTTCTGGGCTGATGGTCCAGCGTTGCTTACCGGCTACTAGGTCCATGGATTTCCGGGTACAGAAGCATGCTTTTGTGTGCGACTGCGCCGGAACTCAAACCCCGCTGATGCACTGAACACACAAAGTAATCAGATCTACCTCTCCAAGAAGGTCATACAGTAAAGGATGATGCTCCTGACCCAGATCGCCCAGGTGTTGCACAAGGCGCAGGAGTAACACCTTGGCCACAGGAGAGGCAAGGGAAAATGAGAGTTTCTCCGGGGTTATGAGTTGTGGCGTCTTGAAATTTTAAACTATCTCTGGACTCCTTTAATCCCAAACCCAACACCCCAAAATCTTGTTGCTAAGCTCTGCGACCCTTTGCCAAAGTGTAGGGCCGCTTCTTCTCCCTCGGGACCTCTAACGACGTAGATCTTAAGAGTGCTTAAAGCCACCGGCACCCAAACCCCCACGAACTGAACTCGCATACACAAAACACTGTCCTGCGCCTACACCCGAGCTACAGAATCTCTGCATCTCACGCACCCATCGGTGCCTATGCACCTACCTATAGTCTCCATTGTAGTTCCTTTTTGTGGTTTAACCAAATATATGTAAGGGATTTTATAAGGTATCCCCAGGAAGGAACTACAATGGAGACTATAGGTACTTGGAGGATCATGGGACTTAGTAACTAG